TTTGATGAACACATTGCCATGTTCATTTCCCCCTTTAACACCATCCAGACACTGCATCTTTTTGATTCACAATGTCATGGTACAGCTTATCTATTCCCCCTGTGCTGCTATTCTAATCACGTAATTATCCTGCCACATTTTTAAATGCTCATCCAAGGACATGCTTAGACAGAGGGAGAGAGAAAAAAACACACACATCGATGTGAGAGAGAAATCGATCCTTTGGTACATGCCCTGACCTAACCAGGGATCAAACCCACAACCCAGGTATGTGCCCTGACTGGGAATCGAATTGGCAACCTTTCGGTGCACAGGACGACACTCAACCAACTGAGCCACTCTGGCCACGTTGTACTCACTACAGAGAGCAACATAATGGACTTGACCACTACCAGAAAACCACTCCACTGAGGGTTTCAGTATCACCTCCATACATCAGAGTATTATTATTTATATTGCTGTTATATCAGATTATTAATCAAACACAAATATTTTTTGCCAACCCCCCTTCCCCCAACCAATGCCTTCCTTTTTCTCCCATATGTGACATAAGACAAACTTATATTGCTTTGTGCCCTGGAAATGCCAGGCAGCCATAATAAAACTAGCAGTCTCTCCTGATCTGGCAGCAGTCTTTCTGTCTTGAATAAGGGAACTCTTTACCATCCAGGATTCCCAGGAGTACTGCTCTTGACCCCTGAACACAGATCCAGACCCCTTGGGGCTTCCCCACCAACCCCAACTCCTTTCACCACCCCCTGCTCACCCTTCAGGGCCTAGGGTGGGAGGGGAAAGGTAGGATAGAGAGCCAGTCAAGAGGATTACCCTTCCCCTACTGCATTCTCCCTTCTCCTGTCACCGATTTCTGACTGCTGTCGATCCTATCAGGGGTCCATAAAGCAAGGAGGACTCTGGCCCTGGAGAGGGGGGTAGAGGTTAGGCAAACAGGCCAGGGAGGCAGCTGGTTGAAATTTAACCACAATATTCTTGGTCTCTATTGTTTTGAGTGAGGCCCAATATTTCCACAGCAGGATTATAGGATCTGATTAACCATGTTAGACAACAATGCCGAGCTGGGATGGGCTTCCCCTTCCAGCTGCCAATATGAAAAAGTAAATACAACACCCAGATTTCAGAAGGGACTCCAAGCAGCCCCGGAGTCCTAGCCCCCAATTCTAACCCTGCTACTGTTTTTGGCCCAGAGGGAGAGTAGGAAGAGTGTGGTACTGCATGCTCCTTTAACTCCTGGCCCTCGGCCCAGCAGGACGAGTAATCTGGGCACAATCTTCCCAGGTGAGCCAATGGCTGTGTGCTCCCCACACCCTGGAGTCCTTCCAGGGCCTCTTCCGGGTTCCCTAGGCTGGCCCAGAGCCTCAGGAACCCATGAGAGTTAGGTGAGGAACGGCGAGCAATCGAAGGGTCCAGCAGTGTGGAAGGCACAGCAAAACCCGTTGGACTCCTGGACAGACACTGAGTGCAGGTATGACATAACAGGTTGGAAGGGCAATTGAGCCTTTGCTAGAATGCTTTGGAAGTCATGTTGCCTAATGACTTCCCATGTGCAGGGCAGAGACATGAGGCCCCAGAATCGAGGGGAAACAGGGCAGCCAAAGCAGTCTTAGGAGATGAACAAGTATTCCTCGAAGGGTCTGGAATGAAATCTCCCTCACACACAGGTACCACATACCCTCCTACTTAGGGTGGGACCTTCGGAGGCCCTACCCAAGAGAACATGGAAGAAAGAGAGAGCAACAGGAGCCTTCAACAAGAATTCCCAGTAGCAGCTCCCAGGAGGTCTCAGAAAAAAACCCTGCTCCAAATCATGCTTCCCTTCTCCTCTGGCATTTCTCTTGGTATCTAAGTGCCTGGCACGATCCATTACCATTTTGTGAGCCCACTTGCTGATGTCAGTAATGGGGACCAGGAACCAAGGGCCTTGAGCTCTGAGCATGGTGGCTTCCTTGTGGTGTCACTTACTCCTATTGAACAGTTACTTCTTCAGGAAAATTCAAAGCTTAGAAAAATGTGAGAGCAGCTTAGAAAGGCATTTCCCGATTGTATCAAACCCAGTTAACAAAACTAGGAGAAAACAAGGGACATAATAATTGGAGAAGAAAATGCCCTGTGATAATGTCAAGAACGAGGTCATATCAGGACCAGGAGAAGGGGCGCGACCTTTTATTCCCACTCCTTCCACCACCTCTGTATGGACAATAACACATGGGTGCTCCTGCTTATCTCCAGAGAACCAAGGCAACCGAGGACATAAAGACTTCGGAAAATGGGAGGTTTCAATGAATAGAAAGGCAAGGAAAGGGCGCTCAGAGGTACCACAGGGTAAAATTAAGAAGCAGGAGGGCTGAGTATACAGGAGACTCAAGTGCCTCGCTGTGGGGGACCTGCATCAAGGCTCTTGATCTGACTGGGAGAGATTCTTTCCAAGGCCAGAGCCAAGGAGCATGGATTTCACTCTGCCACCTTACACCCTAAGAATTCCAGGGCGAGCTCCTCGGGGTTCAGTGAAGGAGACTAGAAGCTCCTTCCTCCTTTCTCAATAACTTGCTAGCCTTTGGAAACACTCCTTGATCTGGAGACTGGCTGGCTGTCACAGAAGACAGAATGATCCTCGTGGGATTTTCCAGGGCCCATCTTGGGCTCTGCCTTCAAGGGCTTCTGGGAAAGCCCTCTGCAAGGCCTGAGTACAGGGGGTGCTGCCCAGCCGGAGTGCTAGGGGATGAAGGTTTCTCTTCCAGCCAAGAGCTGGGCATTCCTAGCTGACTGTGGGGGAGGGGTGCGCGGCCGCCGGGCCAAGTAGGCCTTGCAGCCTAGGTGGCGCTATTTCTCTACTTTTTAGGTCAAGCTCCTGCAGGAACTTCCTCGAGGTCTCTAGTCCTGCTCCTGGTTTGCTGGCTTGCTCGTGTAAACCACCTTATATTATTTTTTTTTCTAAAAATACTCCAAAGCAATTGAAAGAGTCCCTTCTCCCACCAGCCAGCCCTGGCCCCAGCCCCGGCCCCGGGGAGCGGGCGGGTAGGCGGGGAGGTGGGCCACTGCTTTATTAAACACAGGGAAAACTAATATTTACGGAATAAAATTTATGGAGCAGCCACGAGAATTCGACCCTTTTATGTGCATGTGGAGTGGGGGTTGGGTCAGGCTGGGGGCCTCGGGGAGGGGCCCAAGCCAGGGGGCAGGGCTGGAATACAGCCTGGTTAGGCCAATTTGTCAAGGCAGGGATTTCCCTGGAGTTGCCCTGGGACGAAAGATTCTCAGCCCCCACCCCTAGGTTTGGGGGGTAAGAGCTTCAGGGCAAGAATGCCTGAGGCAGGGCCTCTGGAAGCAATGTTTACAGAAGGGTGTGTTTGGGCAATATCCCCATGGAGACAGCAACCTTTGGGGATAGAGTGGGCAGTGGATGGGGAGGTCATTAGGCACATTCTTAGTTAACCTTTTTAAAAAGTACACATTCTTTTGAGAACATGAAAAAAAATTATGCTCTTAGGATTTTACTTATAATTTGGGGGGATTCACAAACCCCTGGCCCCCCATGATTAAAAAGGTCTGCTCTGGAGACTGTGCTCTAAAGGTAGAGGGATTGTCCAGGTAAAGAGCCCACATTTTTTCCCAGCTTGCTGGGGAAGTCTTTCCATTTCCCAGTGGCCTCATTTCTCGTGGATCCTGAAATCTGGCTATCTAAATTATGCGGAAAAGAAACTAAAGAACAAAATGAGCCATCTATAGATTGTTTTCCCAACTCATTCAATGACAGTCACGACTGTGGGGTGCACCCTGGTACACTGTGGTCTAGAGGGAAAGGCAGTTATCAGCAGCAACTTGGATGAGCCCTAGTGGAGCTCTCAGACTCTGCCAGCAGTCAGGGGCATGGGGGTAAGTCCCGGAGCCCTTAAAGTTTCCTGCCTTGAAGAGCAATGACGAGTAGAACATCCCATTGAAGGTAGGCAGGGTCACAGGAAAAGGATGTCACAGTGGAAGATAGGAAAGGACCCGACAGCCTCCCTGGAAAATGTTTTCATTGTGTATAGAATGATGAACTCAGCTGTCTGGGTTCAAACTCTGGCTGTTACTTACTAGCTGTGTGATTTTTGAGAAGCCACTCAATCTCTTCAAGACTCGATTTCCCAGTGGGTTACAGTATCTTCCTTATGCGATGCTGTGAAGTTCAATGTCAGGAGCTTATTGACCTGGTATACATTAACTGCTCAGTAAATGTTGTTATTGTTGTTCTCATTATAATCATTATTGTTTCATTATTGCTTGGATTGTCTGCTCTCCCATGACCTGACATGAGGCAGAAACACCAGTCCCAGCTAGAGAGGATATGAGGGCGAGGAGGTATTTGACCACCACATGTAAGTAAACCAGAAAAGGCCTCTGTGGGTTCTGTCCCTGACCCCTTCCTCTACCTAACAGCTCCCAGTTAACATCTGAGTCCTACTTTCCTCCTTGTATCTCCAAGGTTTACCTAGGTAGAAAAACCTAGCAGAGGAGGCCAAGGGACTTTGCCAATTCTGTTCTGCTACCCTTGCCAGATCTGTCCAAAGAGTTGACTTTCTAACTAAGACTCTGCCTGTCTCACATAGCCTTCATGTTGTTTCTTGAAAGCACTATTCATTCTATAGGTCAATTATGCTGCCATGGTGAACTCCTGTGTCCATTTCCTGTTCCCTGTCACCCCATCTTTCCTAGTTCTTCTAGTCACTATGGGAAGGTAAAATTCCTTTTACTGCCACTCCAGTGGAAACCTATCTTGGCCCTACTGTTTGAAGCTCTTTGTAATTTCAGTCCCATATTGTAGTTTAACCTGTTGTCTATGCCTTGGAAACAGACCCCCCATCCCCCCAAAACCCCACATCAATTGAGCAAAGGAGAGCATAAACCATCTGCTCTGCCTTGTGCCCACCATGGAGACAGTTCTCAAGATCAAAGTTCCTACATGGAGGCTTAGTGCAGGCCAAAGCAAAGAAGCATAAGAACCAAAGGACTGGACTGAGTGCCTGTCTTTATCCAGAGACAATAGTGGGGTGGGATCCAGTAGAGTGAAGTAGGTAATGTGTTCTACAAAATAAGTACTCTCAAAAGAGGGGAGTGTGAGGGGTTTTTGTTCCATGCTAAAGAGAGAAGTGGGTCTCTGAGGAGCACCTGGAATTGGGTAGGGACTCCTGAGAAAGATAGACGAGGTTTCCTAAGCATGTTGTGCCTTTTTGCTAACTTGTCCTATATACCTAAGGCCCATGGTAGGGTACTGGGTCTAGAGAACCTCCACCAAAAAAGAGGGGGGTGTGGGGTTTCCAGAGACTAGCTTCCACTCAGATAGGGAAGACCAACGCCCAATGGGTTGAAGCCAAGACTCCCTCAGTTGATAGCACCCATTCAGAGAACATGAACTTCAGTGATCCTGCCTCTGACTATGTGACTGTGTCAGAGATCCTGCTGTCCCTGGGGCTCCTTTCAAGGTGGTACCAGGAACTGTTCTCCAGGTCCATCCTCAGCAGTTGAGATAGTGACAATTTAACTGAAGAGTCCCCTTAGCTTCTTCCTCTTGACCTTGGACAGCTGAGGTCTCTTCGCAGGGACTGAAGTACCCTAGAGAAAAAAGGAACAGAAATTAATAAGGGTTTCGAGCAGTTCTACTTCAGTTAGGAAAGGACCTTTCTTCCTCCATGGCTCTGGGTTAGGATGAGGCCTCCTTGAGGTGGCTGACACAGTGTTTTGGACTCTATGTCAGGCAATGAACATGATATAAGACCCTAGGGAGGAGGTGCATATATCTCTTCTCCCCCAGGGAACATCCTCACAGACCACCACTGGAAGCAGAAAAGGTAGAAAGAAGTCAAGGTCCTTCATTCAGTACAAGAACTACAGAGAGGAGATGTGAGAAACAATGACTCTCCACCTAGAAAGGCACAGTTTGGAAGCCTGGTGACAAACATCCTCCAATATTATTATGGTAGATCAACTAGGTGGCAATTCCAGGGACCACTGACTCGAGGGCTATAGGTATGGACTCCTCCAATGCTCAGAACGCCAAACAGGAAGCTGCTCGTGACTCACTGTGGGCTCTGTGTCAGGCCCTGGGAGGGATGGTGCTGAGGAAACCGGCTCTTCAGGCTGGCTCAGAAATTGGCTATCAGTTCCTTGTGGGGAGGCACTATTTGAGGTCTGAGGATCTCCTGAAAGCAGAAAGATCAAGGGCAGACAGTCATAAATGCCTTCTTCTTACCAGGAAGACATCAGAATTCACCAAGCATTCTGACAAAAGCCTGGATTGGTACTAATAATATATAAACAGACAGAAGTAGCCACAAATCCAACTTCCAGCTGACTTTTGAAAAGCTCTGTTTCTACTCTGAAGATTCCCCAGGCCCACTTTCACCAGGTAGGAAAAGACCTTCCTGGACTCAAAATAGCCAACTGTTCTTCTACACATTTCCTGACATGCCTAGGGAGATTCATCTTTCTCCTGGTTCTCTAATTCTCCTAAGTGCCCAGATCAGTTTTATAGAACTTTCTGCAAAGATGGAAATGGTCTATATTTCCACTGTCCAACTTGGTAGCCACCAGCAGCTGTTGAGCACTTGAAATGTGGCTAGAGCAAATGAGGAAATAAAATTTTCATTTTACTTAACTTTTATTAATTTAAACTTAAATAGTCACAAGTAGCTAGAGCTACCACAAACCTAGACAGCACAAACCTAGACCCTAACTCTAACCCCAGGGAGACCAAGTTCCCCTGGAGCTACTCACCGGCATTTTGATGCTTCTGCCTCACCTGGACCTCTTGTTTGGTGACTGCCATATACAGATTCTGTAGACTCCTGACAAAGGGCTTCCCATCACCAACACTGCATGCCTCTGGAAGTTTCTATTGGGGAGAGAAGATGCTGTCATTTGTTACACTGTATTGCCAGAGAAAAGGGATTTTATATTCCACTGATAGAACTGGTATCAACCCCAAAAGAATTTATATAAAGAAGTCAGATCCCATGCCTGGCCAGGCATGGTTCAGCAGTTGAGCATGGACCTAGGATCCAGGAGATCACGGCTCAGTTCCCAGTCAGGCCACATGCCGGGGTTGCAGGCTCGATCCCCAGTCGGGGGCGTGCAGGAGGCAGCTGATCAGTGATGACTCATTATTGCTGTTTCTATCTCTCTCTCTCCCTCTCCCTTTTTCTCTCTGAAATCAATGAAGATATATTAAAAAAAAAAAAAAAAGAACTCAGATACCATAGAGGGCACCCATATCCAAGCCTGTTGGGACCAATACTAAGACCTCTTGAGAGATCTTCTCTGAAAGGCAATTTCCAAACATGTGTCTTTATTTCCCCCAACATTTAGGTCTATTACGATTTCCCATGAATGCCCCACAGGTCTCTAGGCTCTTTCTCCTAAAGTGATGATCTCTTAGAGGCCTGTTTTAGGAAATCACTGTACCTAAACTGTCTCTGAGCTGTACAGGTTACTATTTTAATTTTATATTCCCTACTGCGATCCCACTGTGCTTAGTTACAATCCATGAACTCTCAATGGCAAGATCCCCTCAAGGGGATGAAAATTGGTTCTTGGGGGTAAAAAAAAAAAATTGCTCTTTTAAAGCATAAAGCACAGATATATATAAACATAAACAGAATTTTGGTATATTTTGATACTAAAATACTGGGTGGTGGTGGTGATTAAGAAAAAAGGTCTCAAAAGGTTCCTTAGGGAGGTGTTAATGAAAAAAAAGTTGAGAAACACTGTTATAATCACATTATATTTATGTTTCCTTCAATATAGAATGAACCGTGTGGATTTATATTCACAGCAAAATGCTTTGCCTAGTTTGACTTTCATATATTGGCTGAACTGAGGTGAAATAATGCTGAAGACTGAAGAAAGGGCAATAAAAACAAGATGAAAGAGTATGGTATCCGGTGTTCCCAAACCTGGCTGCACTTAAGCATCTTGGAAAGGGCCCAGAACTACTTCATCTGTCCCTATGCATGCAAATTGTTATGGTTCCCAGCCAAGGTAGCAGGTCTCCAAGGAAGTCATGCCAGCCGCTCATATGGGAACCAACCCAAAAATCCTGGATTGGCCCGTATCTCTTGTCAAGGGCACTTTCTCTGGACTAGAAGGGCATTCATTTCTGAAAGCCTCCTGTGGGAGAAAGACGGAAGAGAGAATGCAGGAGACGCAGTGAGGTAGTTGCTGAGCAGTAGTCAAGGCTTTCCAGTTATCTTTCCCTGAGCATGGTGGGAGCTGACAAACTTGTTGGCCCCAGGAAATGTAACATACATTTCTACTCTAACCCAATTCCCACCCTTAAGATTATACCAGTCTTGGACTTTTACTGGAAACCACAGACAATGAATCAGAAACCATTAGTGCAAACTATTTCTAGCCAGTAATCGCACTAGGAGTAAAACAGTTCTCTTCGGCAGCATTACCTGAGGAATGAACTGAAAAGGGAAGGCCAACTATCAGGCCACACATCCACCTCACCTCACTCTCCTTCCAGGTTCAGCTCTCCAATCTCCAAGCCACCTCCTGCCCCACAAAGTCCTCTACTCCACAGCCAGAGGGCCCTGACAGGGGAGAGCCAACGGCTGTTCTCCTCCCTTCTGTCTCATGTCTCTAGGATCTCCCTTCACTGTGCTCAAGAGATGTGGCCTCTCTGCGTCATCCACACACAGCTTGGCTGGCACTGCACTGTTTGTACAAATGGGCTAGGCAGAATCTAGGCATCCAGGGTCATCTCCTNCTCTGCGTCATCCACACACAGCTTGGCTGGCACTGCACTGTTTGTACAAATGGGCTAGGCAGAATCTAGGCATCTAGGGTCATCTCCTCCTGCCCTTCCTATGGAACTTAACAGACTCATCAATTTTCCAGGGTGATCATTAGCCAGGCCATNCAGGGTCATCTCCTGCCCTTCCTATGGAACTTAACAGACTCATCAATTTTCCAGGGTGATCATTAGCCAGGCCATGTATTTAGTCTCAAAATGAAGTGCCAGAACTGAAAGGCTACTAGAGCCAGGGCCATCCTGGACCTGAATCCAAACCTAGAACCTATATATTACCTCCCTCTATCCTTCCCCTTCTTAGGGGATCTGGTCCTACGGTTGCTGCCAAAGTATGAGGACAGAAGTATCAGTCCGCTTGCTGGTACTTACTACATGCTAGACACTGTTCTAAGTATTTACCGCATTAGCCCATTCTGTCTAATTCACTGCTATTTCCTTGGCACCTAGAACAACCTGGCCCATAGTAGGGGAGCAATAACTATTTGTGAATGAATGAACATGGTAGGCTACTGTCCCATTTCCCTGAGAAGGCCACAGCTAGTAGGTGATGGAACAGGATTAGAATCTAAACAGTCTGGCTTCAGGGCCCACAAATATAATGACTACAGTACTTACTTCTCTGAACAGCAGAATTTCAGTTAAAAGGGAAATACAGCCTTTCCCAGGATCACAACCCTCAATCCCTCACATCACAGATGATCTGCCTATATTCCATTCAGCCCAGGAACAAGCTCCCTCAGGCGACAATAAAAAAGTGAACAGATAAAAAAGAGGCAGCTGGCCCTACTTGGAAGCCTCAGGGGCTGAATGGCCATAGCCTTAATCTTATTCTAGCCCTTCCCTGTCATCACTGATTCCCTGGGCATCGTCTGCAGAATATGCTAGGGAAGAGAGGTGGAGAGGCCAGAGTATGGCAAGGAGGAACTTTAGCTCCCTGCCCAGGACAATGGCAGGGGCGAGCTGGGCGGGTGGCAGAGATCAAAGGGAGAATGCCGGAGTCAGGACTAAGAAAAGCAAATAGCAGTGCCCCCGCTAGAAGTATGACTGAGCCAGGTGCAAGGTGTACCAGCCACAAAGCGGGTCACTGCCCACAGTGGGGAGGGGAAGAGTACTGTGTAATGTGTTCTACTGTTTAATGTGTTCATCTGATTAACCAGAATCAATTCTACTCAGCAAAAAAGGGGAGGCTCTACGGTGCCAAGCCCTGCAGGACTGAGGGCAGGGAAATGGATGCGTCAGTCCCTCCCTCCTCAAACAGGAATAAGGCAGAGTTCCTGCTCAAAGGGAGATAGGGAGATACATAAAAATATTTTTTTTTCAAGTGTTATGCTCTAAAAGAATTACAAACAAAGGGTAATAGGAACTCAGAGAAGAAGAAAGGGACGAATTTTTTTTTTCCCCCTGTTAATCCTCACCTGAGGATATTTTGATCAAACTCTCAACCTTTCAGTGCGCAAGGCCAATGCACTGACCACTGAGCCATGCTGGCCAGGGCAGAAAGGGACAAATTTTGGCCTCAAAAAGCTTTGGAGGTGGGGGCACCAAGTCAAACCTTGCAAGGTTAGACTGTGAATGTGTTGGAAGTTTCTGAGGTGCAAAGGTGTGAAAAGACATATCTCGTGAGAAATGAGACCAGAAGGCTAAATTCATATCCAGGGGATTGCAAAGGACTCACATTCTGAATTAAGGATATGCCTGTGGGAATTTCCCTTTGTTTTATAAAGTGGTTTCTCTAGATATAACAGCCTGCCAAAGCTTCCTTGGCTCCAAACTAATATCAATACAACAGTGAGGAATCAGAAGCTTCCTCTAGGTTTCCCTTTTTAGTCTTTCTGCTACATCCACGAAAACCCGCCTAGTACTTCTTCACTGCTCACTGCCAGTTCTGTGACGTTTCAGTAGTTACAAGAGCTATATTCCTCCCCTGTCTCCAAGGGCAATTTTACTCTCCCATCTCCAGTCCACTGGGACTTTAGCCCTTGCTATACAGTATATCAGAAGCTTTCAGAACACTAAAGGTATAGAAATCCTACAGGGCATTTTATTTCCCTCTCGTCTCTACTGCAACTCATCTTGGTACCGAGGGCCCACACTCCCCTCTCAGCGATAACTCCCATCTCCATCGAATCTAAAATTCACTCCCCATGGTTCAGGATCCTAAGACTCCCTCCTACTCTCTGACCCCAACAGGATCTGTTGGCGAGATCCCAACTGCCACTTTCAACTAGAAATTGAAGGTCTGATCCCGCCCCACCCACCCCCATCTCATCTCTCCTTTTCTCTGGGGCTGTTTCAGAAAAGAAACCTTTAGGATCCTGGGTAAGGAAAGGCTGGGCCCTGACACACTGCTCACCCTACTCAATGTGGGCCCAGGCTAAGAATGGAGATTTAAAAGAAGAGAAAGGGGAAATGAGCAACTGGCGCTCCCCAGCACCAGCGTTGAGCAGGTCTTTGGTGCTGGTACCAGCCCCAGAAGCTGGCACAGTCCCGAGGCCCTGACACTGACTGTGACAAAGTCACAACCACAGGACAGGTTCCCAACAAGTGGCTTCTCACTCAAAGGGGAAGAAGCAAGACTATCCAGGAATTAGTGTAAAAAAAAAAAATTTCTTAGGAAAAAAGAGAAGTAAAAAAAGCTATAAGTTCTGTCTTTAGAGTCTCAAAGCCTTTGATTTGTACCTAAGGTCTTCTGTCTTCTATTTGCTAGCTGTGACATTTTGGGTAAGTTATTACACTTAATCAGCATCTTATTTTGAGGGGGGGAGGGAGAAGGGGGAGG